GGGTACCTAATGAGGAGTTAGGTGACCAGATCATCTTCTGACCTAAAAACCTTGAAAAAAATCTGTCCTAAGGTAGCAGGAGAGAGGAAGAGGAATTGCACTGTGCCAGCAATTCTACCCATACAGAACTAACAGTAAGCCAGGGCTGTAGGATCTTCAGCAGACATGGGCCAAGAGTCTAACACATCCCAAAATGGGTCAGTGAAGCTGCAGAACCATACCAGAGGAGATGAGTTACTCAGCCACCCCTGCCTGTACATCTAAAGAAAACAAATGTTGTTATGGTGCACTTCAGTTTGGCAAACAAATGCTGGTGATCTGATACAGACTGTAATTCCCCAACAAAAAGATATTTTACATAATATAGGGTACTTCTTTGGGGTCTCACTATGACTGATAATGAATTAATTCCTTTGACTTGAAGTTAGTGGTTGCTTAGTGACCATGAATCATGACCTGATTATATTCAGCATAAGAAAAAAGAATCCTCAACCAGTCTTATGTACATGTACTGCTTAAGGTTAATTTCTCAGTATTGAGCTAATGTTATATTATTTTCTCCAGATCTACTTCCATGTAGATAGAGTAAATACGAATAAAAAAACAGGAGTTCAAAAAAAATTAGCAAAGTTACAATACCACAATTGTAAAATAAAGCAGCTGTGGTTAAATGCCTACTTGGACAAAAGTGGCAAAATGAAAACATCAATCGGTATTGCAAAATATATTTTCCATATTTGAAGTTTAAATAACTGAAATCAATATAGACTTGCAATACACTCTAAATTGATAAGGGGAGCTAAAACATTAACAAAAAAAAAAAAAGAGTTCTCAGAATGGAGGAAAATTTTAAGAAGCTTCTTGGTCATTTTGTAGATGTACAAGTAAATTCTAAAAGAAGCAGAAAGAGGCACTTGTATCACATCATGATGACAAAGCATAGGAAACTACTAATTAGCTGAAACAAACACTTAAAAATTTGCAGGCTAAGAAAACTTCCCAGAAAGATGGATAATGAAAATTATTGAGCAGCTGACAAGTGATCCAACTGATAAAAATAAATAAATAAATAAATAAAAACTATGTGCAATTAACACTACTGGTAATGTTTTAGTGGAAAACAGGTAATGTGGTACACACCTGATGTTACTGAATGGAGTTACACATATGGCTGGTAAATTCTGATGTGGATTTAAGACTTGGAAGCTGATGGAACAAGCAAATGGACATGCCAGGAGGCTGATGGTGGTGCTCCAGAGAGGACCGAAGGTTCAGGCGCAGCCCCACTTGCACTGTTTCCCACTGACCAGATCTTGGTGTTCCTGATAGACATGCAGCCTTTTTCCTCTGCTATCCCTTGCTTTTCTAAATCTGCCTGGCATGCTCAGAGACCAGGTTCTGCAGCTATGCGCAACAGGGTTAGGGCTGCCCTTGCCGTTCCAAAGAAGCCACTCCCATATGGGCAAGAGTGGACCACCACTAATGAACAAGCACTGTGCTAGTGCTGCTTCAAGCACACAGAGGATCTGTAGTCTCATTGCCAAGTCCTCATGATCCAACCTCTCAGGTCCAACCAAGAGCAAAGGCTGCATTTACTACACATGGCATTCTATCTGCAGACTCATAAAATATGAGAATCAGAAAAAAAAAAAAAAGGGGGTAGAAAAACAAACAAACAAACAAACAAAACAACAGCCCAGTTCCATAATATCTGCAAATGTTCTCCACTTGTAAGAACACATTCTCCCTCCCTGGATTTGCAGCCTTCCTTCCACTCTATCTTCAACTTCAGTGCTGGTGCCTGTGATGGAACAAGCAGATCTTGGTGCCTGCACTGACTGAAAGGACAGAGAACTGTGCACAGGAAACTATGGAGAAAACTGCACAAGAAGTCCTGCAGCCCAATGGCCTGTTAAGAGCAGGCACTGATCACCCAAAATCCTCGCTGTGGACATTTTTGGGCATCTTCCTTAAACTATATCAACCCTAGCTAGATCCATGAACTGAATGCTTGTAAGCAGATAGAGCACATCAGATGGAGCACAGTTTTGGGTTATTTTCACCTAAAAGAATTCACTTCACACTCTCCAGACCTACTGTACACTTGTGAGACAAATCACAGCAACTGGGGACAGCCAGCTCCACCTCAGAAGTACACTCCTGATCCAAACAAGCGTTGATGAATGCTCTAAGAGCCAGAAACTACAGCTATGTGCAAAAGGCTGTTGTGCAGCAAGGAGCTGAAAGCTATTGCTAACTATCTTTCCTTCCACAGCCTTAACACAGCAGGTCCTCTCTGAATATTCCTGATGGTGGGGGCCACCAGCTCTTGTCTCACAGACAGACAAGTGCTGCCTAATAGCAGGAACTTGAGAAGATTTCTCCAAGAGCTATCACATACAGTGCTGCACTATCACGTATAATTCTACCCTTTCCTACCAGATTGTTTTAGTATTTCTGCAACTATTGGGATGGAACTATCAGGAAAAAGGAATAGAAACTGCCAGACTGCCTAGCCCTGACCCCTTCCTTATCCTAAATCATGCCAATCTGCTCTCCTCCAGTCAGACACTCACACTTTTCAGATCTTAATGAACTTCAAAAAACAATTTCTCCTTCCTTGGGAAATTCATCTGCTAGTCCCATTGACTCCAGGTGGATACCATCTGGACCTGCTGGTTTGCGTGCGATTAGTTTGCAACTGTTATCTGACCTATTTTATATAAACAGCCGTATCTAGAACATGAACAATTCATTCTTACCCAACACGTTTTCATGCCATTTTTTCATCCATGCCATTTTTCAAGAAAAATAATTGAGCCATTCAATCACATATGGAATCACAGAAAAATTTAGTTTGGAAGGGGACTTTTGGAGGTCATCTAGTCCAATTTCCCTCTCACTGCAGTCTCTTTCCTCTTGAATTACTAGGGTAGCTTTCTTGTGTAAGAAATTTTTGTCTTTTCCTCACATCCTTTCTGACTCTTCTCACAAATCCTCAGCATCAGTGATAGTTAGCTGAGACAAGAAGCCATAAAAGGATGGGTTAAGGTGCAGGTTTCTAAACGCACAGCCACTTCCAAGAACCAAGCCCAATACTCAAAGGCTGTTTCAGGCTGTACAAGTCTTTCCACTTGATGACTTCTTGTGGGTTAACCCCAGCAGGCAGCTAGCATCTCACAGCTGCTTGCTCACTCTACCCAAGCAGGACTGGGGAGAGAATCGGAAAGATGAAAGTGAGAAAACTCATGGAATGAGATAAAGACAATTTAATAAGTAAAGCAAAAGCTGCACTCACAAGTAAAGCAAAACAAGAAATTTGTGCACCACTTCCAATTGAAAGGCAGATGTCCAGCCATTTCTGGGAAAGCAGGGCTTCATCATGCACAATGGTTACTTGGGAAGACAAGCACCATAACTCCTCCCCTCTTTTCCTCCCTTCCTCCTTCTTTATCCCCAGCTTTCATTACTAAGCATGATATCATACAGTTGGTCAGTTTGGGTCCCTTGGTTGTATCCTCTCCCAGCTTCTTGTGCACTCCCAGCCTCCTTGCTGGCAGGGCAGCACATGAAGAAGAGCAGTTTCAGACTCAGTGTAAGCACTGCTCTGCAATAACTAAAACATCGGTGTGTTATATCAGCACTGTCTTAATCATAAATCCAAAACTAGCACCACACTAGGCACAACAAAGAAAATTAACTCTATCCCAGCCAAAACCAGGACATGTCCTGATGATTCATTACCTTCTGTGGAGGTACATGCACTGAGACAACAGTGAGCATAAAAGTCTTTGTGAACACCACAAGAAAGAAGGGAACATAGGAAGTTAACACTCTTTATCTCTTTGCCACAGCAAGCTTACAGATTTCCAACTGCCCTTATAAATAGAATGAGCTCAACAAAAACATCCACGTTTGTTACATGTTCTGGGAAGTTTGACACAATTAGACAAAAAGAAATAAAGCTTTCCATTGTACAAGTACTTATTTATGGCTTCCATACAAAGTTTTTTAACTTCTACGTCATTTAGGCTTCCCAAAAATTTCTCTGAGAAAGGATCAAGGGGAAAGATTAGAGAGAAAGAAGAAATGTATGTCATAACCTCTACTTCTGCTTGTCTCATGCGTTTACCTGAATTGCTGTATGCCATTCCACAGTCTTTTTGGAATCCAAAACATAGCATCACACTAGCTACAATAAAAAAAAATAACTCTATCCCAGCCAAAACGAGGACGTGGCCTTATGATTCTGTACTTTCTGTGGATTTCACATTCACCAAGAATTAACTCTTTACATTGGCTTGTCCCCTTGCTCTAGTGAGCTCTGATCCAGTCAACTTTCTGGAACAATTCAGGAAAACTCAACAAGTGGTATGATTTTATACTTAACCTAAAATTCAGTTTTGCATGACATATATTTCATGACAATATCTACACCAAAGGAGGAGAAAGGACGTGCTGCAAGGAAAAAAGCTAAACAGGAAATCCAAAAATATTCCTCCATAAAGAAACAATACCAGAATACTACTTCACTTTTTCTTATAGAAGCTCCAGTGTGGGGCAGCTCCATTGCCATTATCGCTACTAAGAGAGAGGACACGTCTCCTTGCACCAAGTCCAGTTAATAGTCTTAGCATGAGAGCATCTCTGATATGAAAGGGCTTCAAGGATACAGAGAGAGAGAAAAGGCAAGGGATTTCACAAAGAGCTTTTCAGACCCACTCCAGACCAATCTGTCTAATTCTTTAGTTTGCTAATCGCAGCAGCCACAAGCAAACACTGGACTGAATAAACTCACTGAATAATGATGGCCCCGAGAGGAAAGTAGATGTGTCCTGATGCTCCCAAGACCCAAAACTAGCTGCAGGCTGCAGCTTCCACTGATCACTGCAGGCAGCACTAGGAAACCACCAATTAACATATCCATTCTAAAATAGTCCTGGACTCTACAGTAAGATTAAAAAGGGAGAAAAGGTGGAGAGAAAAAAGATCAAACTCACCAACATCGGACTCTTTGTGGGTTTTGATGATTTCAGCCAATTCAAAATTTCCTGCAATGATGGCCACCTGAAAAGAGAGGGAGGGAAGACAGTTGAGCAGCTCTGAACAGCACTGATCCCGTGCTTGCTTGCACAGATCCCGCCATATGGACTAATAACAGCTGCCTTCCATGGTGGACGCAGAGCCAACAATTGTTCTGCCTCAGCTCACTCAGTCAGTAACCCCAAGGTGTAAATACACTCTCAGCATTGCAAGGAGAATTTATGTCGATTGTTTGTGCAATGAGAAGGTGGCAAATAGCTCAGAGATAACCATTCCCATCTCCTCAGAGTTTGGTGGTGATATGCCTAACACCAGCTAGGAATTAATTTTAGGTCTTGCAGGTACTGACCAGCTTTCTCAAGCCTGAAGGCTTTCAGCGAACCACAGTTAGATGATGAAAAGCAGCTTACCAGAAACCCAGCTTTCTGTATGTCCTACCTGAACAGTCCCCAGGACTAGCTCCTGCTCACTCCAGGCTGCATTGGCTGAGGAACCACTTCCACTCAGCCGCTGCAGCAGCTTACCCCAGGAAAGCCGTAACATATTAGACAACATTAAATATTGCTTTACCCAACACCCATCCTGTGGTTTCTCTCCACATGAAAAATCTTAAATAACTCAAAAGGACAGGGGAAGAGGGGAAGCTGAATGTGGATCGGCCAAGGCAACACACAGACATGGTCTGCCTTTCTCCAGGAACTGCTTCCACAGATGCTCATGTCCTGCAGAACACCAGCAGTCCTCAAGAAGGTAGGTTAGAACATGAGTAAGAGAAAACAGACTGACATGCTACTCTCTTGAAGCAAGTACTCAACAGATAGACTAGAGACATTACATCAACTCTTTGTTGATTTCTTATATCTTTTGTGACGGGGGGGGGAGGGTGGAAGGGGTGGGGATGGAAATACAGCATTGAATCACAGCTAGTAATTCCAAACTAGTTGTGATGTTTTTTTCAGAACAAGGTCCAAAAATATTCTTTTAAAATGTGAAAGAACCACAGTGAGGTGGGTAGCAGAACATGAAGTCAGTTGCTGGTCCTCAGAATATTAAACTGGAAGAACTGTGCTGGACCGAACTGTTAAAGTCTTGCATTTGATACAACTGCCCCTGTACACCAGTGCCTCTCCTGCCCACGCAGTAGCATATCCATAGCATGCTTACATGGCAGGAACCCCTGAGGACAGCGCAGCACCTACAGCTGATTTGGGAATGAGAACCAGCTGGACCAGAGAGATTCCCAGTAGAAAAAAAAGTGCTACTGCTCAGAGCATGGAAACACCTCTAAGAGCAGGCTGAGATACTGATGATTACATTGCCTGTCCATGCTGGGACCATTTTGCTGTACCCCCACACTTTTTTAAACTTAGGAGTGACTATATGGGACAAACAAATTTGATCAGGCAGTCAGTAGAAACTGAATCAGTCCAGACACCGACAGAGTCAAGAGCAATACTGGCAGCTCCAGCTGCCTGTTAAACATTTTCCTGCCCTCCTACAAGAACAGCTTTTAGAAATACGAGATTCATTTGCATTTTACCACTAACTTGTGATGAAGGGATATTTTTAACTTAGTGACTCAGTACAGCATGTACACCTCTCTACTACGATCCTTTATCAGCAGAAATAGTCTTACTATTCTCAATAATGCTCAATATAGCTCAACAATGTTTATATGGCTCTTTTTTTTTTTCTTTCCTTGAGTCCTAGAATTCATGCTGCAACTCCTCAGCCAGAACTGTAAGAGATCAGTAATGGCTGGAAGAAATGAAACCTTCTGCAATCTCAAAATGAGGCCACAGTAACAGAGAAAAAAGAGTAAGAATTGCTATTTTCCCCCAAGCTTGCTTCCAATTGTAATCTGTCTCTCTATATACATATACAAGGCTTACTGGCCCAAACATCACATTCTCTAAACAGGCAACAAAAGCTTTTGTACAGAAGGACAAATGACCAGAATCTGGGGAGGTTTGATAGCTAAAATACCCACGCTAACAAAAGACTGGAAAGGAGAACTTAGAAAAAGCATTTGAACTTCAAGGTTCTTCAAACAATTAACACTGCCTCAGTGAAAAATCCAAACTCAAAGTAAAAATTATGAGTTTCATTAGATATATCCAAAACATATGATTCTATAGTGAATGCACATGCTGCAATGTGAACTGCTTCTGTCACTGCAAATACCCGATGGCATCCCTCCTGGTCAAGCTGCAGGTGGTGGAGGTCTCCTACGGCCTCACCCACCACCCAGCAGGGAGGTCTGACAGCTGACATGGGACCCCTATGTGCAGGCAACAGAAGCACTCTCTTTTATAGCCATGGAACTGTTACAACTTCCAGGAAAGGCGAGAAGAAACATGCTGAATAAGAAGTCTGCTAAGAATATAATCTCACATAAATCCCTAAGAAGAGAGAAGAGCCCTGCTGTTTACATTTTTCAATCCAACTTGGAAAACGCAAAGGAGATGAAAGGATTTCCCTTATTGCATTGTCACCTCAGCTGGGGATTCACGGCACACTGGTTTCCCCAGCAATGATTGTATTCGACAGACACCGTGCGAGCCCTGGACAGCAGGTCACCACAGGACATGGCTCCAGCTCTCGAGTCCCACAGTTTTCTGAGGGAGGAGAAGCCACAGCACAGAGCAACATGAAATCTGTTTTGCTGAGTCTCCTACGGATCAGGGGAGTTGTTTTTTTTTACATCTATAGGATATCCATCTGCTTAGCAGTGTTGTAGAAAGACAGCTCACCACTGGACTGACTGAGCTGCCCATTAAAGCCCATGACTCAGCCATGGGCATGAGGTTACCCAGTCCCACCAGCCACCATGAAGGCAGACTGCCAGCACAGCCAGGATCTTAGCAGTTTTGTGGTGGGCTCCAACCTGCAACACAGTATTTTACACAGGAAACATGAAGAACAGTTCTCCTGAGGATTAAAGATTAAAAAAAAAAAAAAAGAAAAAAAAAAAAAAAGAAAAAATCAGACTTTTCCTGATGCAATGACTGTGCAATAGTGAGTATATTTACCTTTAACTGGGAGGTCCAAGATGGATTAACATTATCTGCTCTTTGGTCCCTAAAGATATCCACAGCACCACCTCCCTCTGCTGAGGAAGGGACAGGTCCTGTGACACTTGAAGCTAACAGATTGCCACCACTGGAGATATCATATCGTAAAGGTCTCAAATGGAAGGAAAGTGGTGGGCTGGGAGACTGAAGAGTAGCAAAGCATATCAACAAGACATGAGTCAGAGTCTTAGCCAAACACATCTGATTATCTGATTTAAGGGAAGCCTCCAGCTGACACAAAAACTGATAAAGATCCTCCATGAGGTATGAAGAAAAAGAGAGGATGGCAAATTTCAGTGGCTTTTGATGATACCTTCAAAAGGAAGTTGCATGAATGCAGCACAGAAGAACAGTGAGTAGATGCCACTGGGCGCAACTCTGAAAATGATATTTTTGAATATTTTTTGTACCCGAAAACGTACATACCCCCACTCACTTGAACCTCTGACTTGAGGAGAAGCAGAAAAAGATTTTTGCTGAATCAAATGAACCACCATAGTTTTTGTTCTGCATTAAACCCTGTTCTTAGAGGTACTTCTTATGTGCAAACTGCAACAATCAAAGAAGTCCAGAACTTTGCCATTATCACCCTAGGTGTGCAAAATCCATACTGACAGTATTGGGTGCAAAGGCAGCAAAGATAAGGCAAGAGCAGAGCCACGTCTGAGGCAGGCAAAGGTGAAGCTGCATTGGTTATAGGATTCAATGGGTCAGAAGGAAGCAATTATCAGTGATGCTGCTGGGCAAGAAGAGTGTGGATCTTCCATGGAAAAGTAGTCTCTTAGTTTTGGTGTAGGCAGCCCATTTAGTGTCATAACACTTTTAAGCTACTCAGCTTTCCTTAGACCCTGAGAAGCATCCTGTAACCATGACGGACTTCATGATGGCAACTATTTCCAAACCACTTTCCCCAAAATGTCTCTAGATACTGAGGCTTTCCATCGTTGATGGTTTCCTCCCACATAACTGAGTACTAAACTATTATTTTTAATCACCACAATTTATAGCAGTGCTACCTGAGTAAATATATCTGGATGTTTTTCAATGTTGTCTACCTTTACTTGGCCAGACAGACTTCAAGCATCTTCTACATTTGTTCTAGATTTCCAGAAATCTGGCACTCCTACTAGGTCATTCCCACTGCTCACATATGGTAGTTCCATCTGGACTGCCATATGAGCAGAAAATCTAGATACATTCATAGCAGTGTGTGCTGCCATTATATTGCACAGATGCAGCTAGTCTGATGCTTTCAGGAAGTGTCACTGGGGTCAGTCACTGTATGACTACGCTGTAGACCAAACAGTTCCTGGAAGCAATAGACAGGCCTCCTGTGCATGAACTATACAGCTGATCTGAGACAAATGCATCTCAAATGCCCTCTGCTCCTGCAAACCAACTTGCTGTCCAAGGTCTATACAGCAAATGAGTTTTTTATTTTTTTATTTTATTTTTTTCCCTATGGACCACACACATATGCTTTGCTTTAGAAGAGGCAATTTAGCCAAGCAGTTAGACTAACATTCTGCCACTAAGTGTACAAGGAGTATCTGCTAACGATCTGCATCAGGCAGTGGGTACAGGTAAACACTATATGAGAAACAGAAAAAAATTTCAAAGCTGTAACCATTCACCATTCAGCCCTAGCCCAAGAGAGATAGAGAATCTTCTCAGTACATTCAGATGAGGCATATGGAGCTACCGGAAAAACAAGATTAGTCTCCTAATGAGATGCACTAAAAGACCATCCTAAAGAGACTCAGGTAATGCTGTCATCTCTTCCATCAAGGGGAACAGGGTGTTCTGAACTCCAACACCCCTGGGAAGCTAAAAAACCTCAACAAGGCAGCTTAGAAATGCTGTGCTCAGGAAGTCTTTGAGCTGAAGCCATCAGCCTTGGCATGGGGGGATGGAGAGGGGGGGCACCTCCCTTACAGCCTGCTTTTGGAG